AAGAAGACCATACATGTAGTATGTACGTTGTATAGTAAGAAATAAAGTGAATAGAAAGGGTATCACAATAAGGTATTAATCAAGGTATGAATGTTACATGTACCGTATAGCTTGAAATTTTCGTGGAATGTAAATTTCGTGGTTTTCGTGGTTATGGGCTGCTCACGAAATTTAAACCCACGAAATCATTGAAGTGCCATCCCCTTACAGGCTATGTAAACTGTCAACCACGAAAATTAAACCACGAATTGCCCCACTAGGAGCAAACCACGAAAATATCAACCCACAAAAATATCAAGCTATACGGTATATCATATATGTGATTATAACTACCAATATACAATATGACAGTACCACAATTGTAATATCAATAATATCACAATTTATGTACATATACATGCATGCACATTAATTGATCTAAATTACCTTTCTAGGCTGGACAGTGAGCCATGGTTTGTCCCTTAACTCATCAATCTGTTCCCATATCTTACCAAGCTCAACCCAAGCTCCCTTTGCACCCAATCCGGAAACCTTTCCCATCAAATGAATTGGAAAAATATAAAAACGTTCTGCATTGCCAATACCGCAATACAGTCGGGCAGCCAAGCCTGATTTCTTATTTCTGACCGGAAGTGACGTTTTTCTCAAAATGGCTGACTTTTAGTGTGGTAGTGCCACTTGCCTATTTTGATTGTTTATGTCAAAGCTAAGAAGTCTACAGTTACTTTGCTGTTCTCTGAACTTTTAGCATTGGATAGAGATGTAGCTAACTGATCTTCTACATTTATAATCAAGAACTGTTCGTGTTTCAGGTGCTTGTTTCCACTGTAAGGATTTAAAATGGCTGACACAAAAATCATATTAAATTCTATAACTTGTAAAATAGAGTGAATGCAATCACACTTACAAGGTAGCTTATTAGTATTATATATGCCTGTTATTCTGCAAAAGTTTCATTGCTGTAGGAGAAAAGGGAAAATTTTTCTAAGGTATTAAAGATCCCAGCAAGTAGCCTAGCTATGTGTTTGTGTGTGTTTAGCATTATTGTATCCATGAGTATAGTCTATAATTCTTGATATATATGTAAATTGTAGCTATTGTAGTGGTTTTCAACTTTCTTTATATCTGTATTTGGAAGATATCTTGAGATTTCATGAGAGCCGCAATTTTCGTTCATATTTGTACTCACATGAACTGTGTTAAGTATCTGGTTGCCTATTTTGGCATTATAGATGAAGGTTATTGTGAGGATATAGACTTTGATCCCAATTATTTTCTTCCTGGATAAAGATATCATGATTTATTACAATTTTTATAATAAATTTTAATTAATTTAATTATACTTAACAATAAAAAAATTGTAACTTCAGTATTCTTTGGAGTGCAATCATGAAATTTTGGTATGTGATACTTAAAAGGTGTCTTTACAAGGTAATTGTTGTCTTACAAGTATTCCTTGTGAGGGAAAATTTTTCTAAGGAATAGAATTATTGTGTTCAAAATTAGCTGTAAGTTCCCCATAAAACAGCATAGCTTTGCTGTTTTCATAAATGATGTGCTCTATTGATCAAGCACTTTATCTCTCATTGTGGCAAGTCCATTGCTGTGATAGTTCTCTGATTCTATCCAAGTTTTCATGTATCTATGTATGCTACCACCCACGCAGTTGCTCAATGAACGAGAAATAGGTTTATACATAATTTATATGGACTTCCGGTTGCTTGGCTGCCCGACTGA